ACCTCATCTCTACAATAAATCAAAAAATCAGCCGGGCGTGGTAGCGCGCGCCTGTAGTTCCAGCTACTCGGAAGACTGAGGCGGAAGGATCGCCGGAGCCCAGCAGGTCGAGGCTGCGGTGGCCGGGAGCGGCCACTGCACTCCAGTCTGGGCAACAGAGTGAGACTCCAACTCAAAAAATAAATAAATAAAATAACATCAAAATAACACATTTAATATTAATAATCAACCAGCATAATAAAACTATTATCCTTATTCACCAGGTTTTTTTCTTTCTTTCTTTTTTTTTTTTTTATTTGGGGTCTCACTCTGTGGCCCAGGCTGGAGAGCACACACTCATGGTCACCGCAGACTTGACCTGCTGGGTTCAGGTGATCCTTCCGCCTCAGCCTTCCAAGTAGCTGGAACTACAGGCACATGATACCACAACCGGCTAATTTTTTGATTTGTTGTAGAGATGAGGTCTCGCCAAGTTGCCTAGGCTGGTCTCGAACTTGTGGGCTCAGACAATCCTCTCACCTCAGCCTCCCAAAGTGCTGGGATTATAGGCGTGAGCCACCACACCCGGCCCACCAGGTTTTCTAGAGGGGGAAAAATATAGGCAGTGTCTAGTCCAGTACAGGACATATTTGGTACATAATAATGGTTACTATTTCCATCCCGTCCCCAAATCCCCACACACAACCCTGCATAATTTAGGTTCTAGTTCCTGGAAGTAGTTGCCTGGCTGCCCCTCAGCTGTGCCCTCGAGGGACTTTCCTGCTGCCAAATGACCTTCCTCATCTCTTCTCATTACTCCCTCAGCTGCAATGCAGAGGACCTCACCTCCTCCAGGAAGCTTGCTGTGATTGATACTTATCCTTCCCCTCAGTTCCCATGACCCACTCTCATACCTGGCCCAGGGGCCATGGAGCCTGTGGCATCCATTCCTGGTGTTCTGGCCAAGGAGTAAGCACCTCCCCCACCACAGAGTGGTGTGTGCTGGCAGCCGTGGCAGGCCTTGCTTTCTGCCCACAGATGTCCAGAGAAGTTTCAGTTTCCCCTAAACGTGATGTTGAACTTCCACGCCCACAAAGAGAATCTGAGCAATTTAGGTTTCCCCTAAGTTTCAGTTTCATTTCTCCTGTCGCTCTCCCCCTCCCCCCAGCCAAGGGGCAGTGCTAGCTCTCTTGGCAAAGGTGCCCAGAGATCCCCGCCAGCCCCGGCCACCGAGCGAAGCAGCAACAGGGGACTCGTAGACCACTCGCCCACTTGGAGGCCGGGCCCCACAGGGAACAGAAACAGGGATGGGAAAGGGCGTGTGACAGGGCAGAGAGGGGAGCCTGGTGGAGCGGAGAGGACTATGCTCCATGACGGTGGGGTGGGGGTGGCTGACAAGGACGGCTTCTAGACAGCCCAGCTGGAAAGCCCAGGAGAGGTTTCACATGGGGGCAGGCCCTGGAACCTGAACCCACCTGGGGGGGGGGGGGGGGG